GCTGAGGCAGGAGGTTTGGGGTTTCAAAGCGAAACTCAGCAATTTAACAAATCCCTAGGCAACTCAGTGAGACCCTGTCTCTAAAATAAATTATATTTAAAAAGAGGGGCGGGGATGTGGCTCAGTGGTAAAGCACCCTTGGGCTCAATCCCTGGTACAATAAATAAATGAAAAAACAAAACAAAATAAACAAAAATAGGAGAGAGGGAGAGAGACAGAGAGAGAGAGAGAGAGAGAGAGAGAGAGAGAGAGAAAGGATTAATGGTTTATTGCAGTTCTCTCAGAAGTGAGTCTGTTATTACAACAACAGTTTTGTTATAAAAGTAAATTATGGGCTGGGGACATACATGGCTCAGTGGTAGAGCACTTTCCTGACATGCAGGAGGCCCTGGGTTCAATCCGTAGAACTACAAACAAAACAAAGTAAATTAGGTCCTCTCCTGCATGTTCTTTCTCTCTCAAATGTCATGCCCTTCTGTCTCCCGGCACGGGATAATGCACAAGAAGTCCTCCGCCTGATGCGGGACCCTTGAACTTGAACTCTCCAGCCTCCAGAACAGTAGAAAATAAATCTCTTTTCTTTATAAATTTCATCAGGTATTCTGTTATAGCGTCCCAAAGTGGACTAAGACACCTATTAAACACTGATTCCTCCAGGTGCAGTGGTGTGCACCTGTAATCCCATCTACACAGGAGGCTAAAACAGGAGGATCATAAATTTGAGGCCAGCTTGGGCAATTCAGTGAAATCTTGGCTAAAAAAAAAAAGAAAGAAAGAAAAGAAAAGGACAGGATCTGGGATGTAGCTCAGCTCAGTGGTCTGGGCTCAGTAATAGTGTCCCTGGGTTCCAACCCTAGTATTAAAAACTAAATAAATATGTACATTTATAAAAAAATAAATAAATAAAACCCAAACATGAATTTCTCATTCCTCCCTCCACTTTAGCCCTGACAACCAGCATCCCAATTTCTCAGACTCTGACCACTCTGAGCAGCACATATAAATGAAATCATACAGTATTTGGGACAGTAGCATTTTTATTTGTTAAGTGATAAAATCAAGAAGGTACCATGCATAGGTCTGGGATACCCTTAGACTCCTGCAGAGACAAGGAGCCGGGTTTAATTCAACCATCTATTGCTGTCATTTAGTTCCACAGCCAAAGATTGGGGTGTTGGGGGATACAACAGTGAATAGGACAAAAAGGTCCCTGTTCTCACGGAGTTTCCATTCTAGAAGAAATGGCAGATGGAAAAAAAAAAAAAAGGAACTCATAAATCAGAGAATTAAGGGTTTGACAAATACCAGGGCGAAAATGAAACTGAGGGTGGTGGGGTGACTTTAGCAGTGGCGGTCAGGAGAGGCCTCTGTGAACCTGACATTTGAGCTGAGACCTGAGGATGCAAAGACTTTGGAAAAAGCATCGCAGGCAGGGTGTCAGTCCACTTTCTGCCGCCGTGGTGGGATACCACAGACTGGGGAATTTGTAAACAATAGAAGTTGATTTGGCTCTGGGTTCTGGAGGCTGGGAAGTCTGGCAGCTTGGCGCTGGCATCAGGAAAGAGCCTGCCTGCTGAGTCATAAAATGGCAGCAGGGCAGGCTATCACATGCCAGGCAGAGGAAATTGAAGGAATTTATCCTTTTTATGAGACACTTACTTCCTTGATGAAGCATCTATCCATTTAAGATCTCACCTCTTTTTTTGTTTTTGTTCGTGGTACTGGGAATGGAACCCAGGGGTGCTTTACCACTGAGCCACATCCCCAGTTCTTTTTATTATTATTATTATTTTATTTTGAGAAAAGGTCTCCCTAAGTTGCCCAAGCCCCTGCCCCTTAATGCTGTTCCAAAGGCAACATAAGTTTTAGAGGAGACACTCAACTCACAGAACAGCAGTGGCAGCAAGTACAAAGGCCCTGGGGTGAGAATGAACTTGACCTATTTGAGAAGCAGCCAGGAGGGCGGGGTAGTAAGTGAGTCAGGCAATAGTGTAGTCAGTGAGGGGAAGAGAGATAGGAGGGACAGGCAGGGGAGAAATACTGTAGACCTTACACACATTGATGTGTATATGGCTTTATTTCTCGTGGGTAAATAACTAGTGGTGGGTTTGCTGGAAGCTGGGTAGGTGAATACTTAACAAACTACCAAAGCAGTTGCTCTAATCTCATGTTTCCACCAGCAGTGTATGAGATTTCCAATTGTTCCACGTCTCTGATGACACTTGAAAGGGTCAATCTCTTTAATTAGTCATTTCAGCGGGTGCATGGTGATGTCTCCTTGTGGTTTTCATTTATATTTCCCTAATGACTAATGATGCCACATACTTTTCTTCATGCTCAATAGTGGCCATATGTGTCTCTTCTTTGGTTAAGTGTTCAAAAAACCAAAGGGCCATTTTTTTTTTTTGGGGGGGGGAGTGGTACTGGGGATTGAACCCAGCATTGCTTTACCACTAGGCCATACCCTTAGCCCTTTTCATTTATTTTATTTTATTTATTTTGAGACAGGGTCTCACTAAGTTGCCCAGGCTGATCTTGCACTGCGATTCCAGGCATGTGCCACCATGCCCAGCTCTTAGGGCTATTTTTTAGAATTAGAATATTTGTCTGATTTTTATTTTTTGCAGTGCTGGGGATGGAACCCAGAGCCTAAAGTATGTTAGGTGGCTCTGTCCCGTTGAGCCACCACCTCAGGCCTATTGGTCTGATACTTCAAAAAGCTTCCTCTGGCTGTCGGGGAGGACAGCAGCAGCTTCCACAGAGGTCACTGCCTGATTTCCAGGAAAGCCGACTTTGGCCTTCGCCCACTCTTGGCCTGCTGCCAGGGCAGGTTGGGCCACTTTGCAGGTCTTGTGTGGAGACCTTCAGTCCAGCTTCCTCAGCCTGGCATCTTTGGAGGCAGAGGCCAGACAGTGGGGATACCGTCCATTTTATCTTCCTTCACCCAAAGGGGGAATCTTATCTGCCCATCAGGCCCAGAGACCAGCCTAGGACACTGCGTTCTGTGCTCTACGCCAGCACACCTGCATCCACTGCAAAAACATGGAGGTATTTCCCTTCTTTCTGATAAAGATACTATTAACTCATGTCTTATAAATGTCTGCATCAGGGGCTGGGATTGTGGCTCAGTGGTAGAGCGCTAGCTTAGCATGGGCAGGACTCAGGTTCGATCCTCAGCACCACATAAAAATAAAGGCATTGGGTTGTGTCCATCTACACTTAAAAAATAAATATTAAAAAAAAATGTCTGCATCACTCCAATCCCCTTGGGACCCCCTTGAACTTCACACTAAAAAGGGACTCTAGGACTTCAGCCCAGCCCACAGGCCACGTTTGTTCTGACTGGATGGTGCCTGGGTGTCCCGACCTGTCAGACTGGATGTCTTCTGGGGACAGCCCAGGCCTGGCTGGAGTTGGAGGGTGGGTCAGGAGGCTGATGCTGAAGGGCTGAGGGAGGATTTTTATCAAGCCCAGAACTCAATACGGGACGTACTAACACCAATATCAATAATGAGGATGGTAATTAACATTTCTTGAGCCCTTGCAGTTGTGCCAGATATTCTAAGAGATGTTACAAAACCCAAGCACCGCAGCAGGCTGCCTGCCCCACTTCCTGCTCCCACCCACAGCCAGAGGGAGCCTGGGAACACCTGTCAGGTGAGGGCCCTGGTTACCCTGCTGGCTCCCTTTGCTCCGTAGTCTGCTGTGTCTGGGGTGGGGAGGGAGGGCACAGGGTATCTTCCTCCAGGCTTGCTCTAGACCTAATGGGAAGGTTCTGGGTTCTTTAGGGATCAGACTTGGCCAGACCTAGGGGCAGCTGTGAGCAGCCAGCATGGTGCCAGCCTTGCCCTGACCCTCCAGCAGCCCCCAACTCCCCAACCCTCCCCTCTTGGCACTCAGCATCTGCCTCATGACCAGCACCCAGCTTCCCCTTTTCTCTCCTGCACCCAGGCCTGGGAGTGCTGGGGTGTGACGTGAGGACGGGGGAGGGGGCTTCCTGCAGCTGGCTCACCCCCAGCACCCTGACCTCAGGTTCCTCCTTCTCCTGCCCCTGCCTCAGCTCCCACTGGGAGAGAGAAGTCCCTGACTCCTCCTGGGTACCCTCCCTCAGTCCCTGTTCCCAGCCACTTCCTCCTCCTGCAGGCAGCCCAGCCCTGCTCAGTGATCACCGCGTTGCCCTCCCCCATCTCACCTAAACCCAATCCTGTCTCTGTGGTGTGGTTTCTGTGACACTAATTCTTACTTTCTCTCTCTTCTTTGCCATCATTTTTTCCTTCTCCATCTTTCGTCTCTTTTTCTTTCCCCTAAGACTTAACATCACTGTCGTGCGTTCAGTTTTCACTTTTATTTACCGTGTGAACTTAGGCAAGCGTCTTTATCTCTCTGTAAAATGGGAATAAGAGCATCGACCTCAGAGGAAGTTTGTGGGGATTAAATGATTTAACACTTGGGACAGAGTACCATATGTCAGGGTGCCTAGATGCTGAGGCTCTCTATATTCTGTGCACATCACAAGAGTCTGATTACCAGGGCTGGGGAGGTAGCCCCGAGGTGGAGAGCCGCCTAGAATGCACAGGATCCTGGAATTGTCCCCAGTATATCCCCCTCCAAAGGGGTCTGATTATCAAATAATTATAGCTGACGGGTGCCAGACCCTGTTCTAAGAATGTTAATTCATTGAGTCCCCTACAACAACCCCACAATTAGGTACTGTTTTACTCCTAGTCTTACAAGTGAGGCCTAGAGGCTGATGATGCTCAAGGCTGCCTGGCCAGGAAGAGGCAGGACTGGCTTCACTTGTACTCAGGAGTGACCCTCCTGATACAAGGCTGCTGACCTCTGACTGGTGATGGGGGTCAAGAGCTGACACACGTACCCTTCGCCCTTCACGTCCAGCTGTTAGGTACTGCGTGCTGCGCAGGCCCTGGGCCTGATTCTTTCTGGTGCTATCTCTGTCTGTCCTTCCTCCTCCCCTATTGTCCCCTCCTCCCGCTGCACCACCCACCGCAGACTTCCTCCTTCACTTGGTTGGAAGCCACGCCGCATCCCACTGGCCCCTGGACTGTGGTGTCCGGCAGTGTCCAGGAGTCATGGGGGACCTGGATCCCTCGTGGCGGCTCCTGATCCTTCTCCTCCTGACTGTGGCTGGTGAGTTGGGGGCTTCTGCAGCTGTGTCCTGAGGCCCCGGGTTCAGCTAGCGGCAGGGCAGTGTGGTTCTGGTGAGAACCAGAGGGGAGGTTGGGTGGAAGCAGGTCCGCGTGGAGCCTCTGGGTCTCCAAATCTGAGCCCCCAAGATTGGGCTGGGGGGGGAGGGGATCATCTAAGGGTGTTGCAACAGGACAAGCGGGCAGAGAAGTCACATGGCATCTAAGCCTTGGCGCTAGTCCCCTCCCAGGTCCCACCAGATACTACTTTCTGCTTTTTCTGGCTTCTAAGGCCCACTACCAGCCATAACCCGGTGCCTCAGTTTACCTCTTTTTCCCTTCTCAGGTCTCAGTCCTGTCCAGGCCCAGAATGGTAGGCCTAGACCCTGCGGTCCCTCTCCCTCCCTCCCAAAGACCCTTCTCCAATCCATTCAAACTTCCCCCTGCTGACACCCACCCCCTAATTCCCAAAGCACATGGACCTCCCCTGACCCATGTGCCATATTCCCAGAATGCAACTGCTCCCCAGTGAGCCCCGGCGTGCTGGCGGGGATCGTGCTGGGGGACCTGGTGCTGACCCTGCTCATCGCCCTGGCCGTGTACTCACTAGGACGGCTTGTCCCTCGGGGACGAGGAATTGCAGCAGGTGAGTGGGGCTGGCAAGAGATGGTCTGGGACACTGTAAGGATGAGACTGGTGGTGGGGTGTAAGCTCCCAGGTCACAAACATCCAAAGGGATGGAGGTAGAAGGACTGATTTTAAGACAGCAATATGGCTGGGTGTGGTGGTGCACACCTGTAAGCTCAGTGACTTGGGGGCTGAGGCAGGAGGATGGCAAATTCAAGGCCAGCCCAGGCCACTTAGGAAGACACTGTCTCAAAATAAAAAATAAAAAAGGGCTGGGGATGTAGTTCCATGGGAAAGCAACCCTGGATTTAATTCCCATTATCAAAAACAAAAGCAAACAAAAAATGGTCCCAGTTTACTATTCTGTCCATCTTTGCACCCTGTGTCACCCCTTTGTCCCTCTGCAGGGACCCAGAAACAGCACATCACTGAGATGGAGTCGCCTTATCAGGTAAGAAAACCAGATTCATTCCCACATCTTTCTCCTGCCCATTCCTGTGGGCATCTGGATTATGGACACCCCCATGTCCTCCTGAGGACCCTAATGCCCCTTTCCCAGGTGCTACCCCATACCTAGAAGGCAAATGGGACATCTGTCCAAAAGCACACTCGGTGATAAACTGCAACCTTAAGCTTAGCTTAAAATGTGTGGAGCAGAAATAAAGGGTGTCTTGCCTTTGTAAGATCAGAAACAAGCCTTATGAGGCCCCAAATTGTTCTGGAAAAAGCTTAGCCCTAGGAGAGGGCTAGAAGAAGCCCTCAGTAGGACAAAGAATGGAATTCAGCCCTAGTTTAGTGACTCAAAAGAGAGGAATCTTAGAATTTGAGGAATGAGAACCCTAAATTCTTTTGAGAAGTAATCAAAGCTAGAGACTCTTCAGAAAAATCCACACACAAAAATACAAAGTCATGCGTATAATACAGAGGCACTTCAAGTGATGTAGACAGAGGTATCTCTCTAGTTCTCCCTCTGCTAAGGCTCCTTCTTAATCCTTTAGGGGGGGTCATGAGATCCTGAGACCTCCCCGTCCTTAGAGAAATGCACACTAGAAACGGGTCTTTGGTATATGAGTTCAGGGATTCTACCTAAGGCCTGCCCCCTGGGACCACAGACACCTCTTATTTGTGAACCAATTTATTATCCGTAATCAGCTTTGCTGGCTTGCTTCACTTGTGGTTTGAATGTTTCTTTGCAAAGTGTAAAAATCTCAAATTGGTTCTGTGAGGTCTTGAAAACTGAGAAAGCTTTCCTGTTATTGATAGCAGTGAAATTTTAGGCAAAGCGTTACCCTGGTCTATTTATTCCTTCAGTGGATTTGTTGAGCACCTACATATATAGCAGAATTTACATCCTAGCTGGGGAGACGGACTTGAAGCAAATGAACAAAATCATTTTGGAGAGGCACCATGAAGAAAATAGAGCAGGCTGTGTGATAATGAGTGGGGTTTGGGAGAAAGAAACTATAGATGGGGAAATTGAGAGCTGAGACTTGAAGAGGGAGAAAGAGACTGAAGGTCTACAGGACTGGTGTTCCAGGCAGAGGGCATCATAGCACATGCAAAGGCCTTGTGGCTGGCTGGGCATAATGGTGAGTCAAGGAAAGGTGAATGCTGAATTCAGGTGAATAAAATCCAGATCTCTTCCACCGCCATGTTTGAAGAAGTTGCGGGGGTGGTGGGGGGGCGGGGGACTTGAAGACCATTAGGAGAAGTCTGGATTTTGTTTGAAATTTATTTGGTGAACCCCTTCCACTAATGTCCTTCATTCCTTTTAGGAGCTCCAGGGTCAGAGGTCAGATGTCTACAGTGACCTCAACACACAGAGGCAGTATTACAAATGAGCCTAGTCAACAGCCCCATATTTGGATCCAGTCACCTCTGTTGCCCACCCAGCTCATCATTCCTACTCCTACTAGAAAACAATTCCACGGAGAGTCTTCCCGGGGATTTTAGACCTCTCCCCACTAACGTTCCCAAATAAACAATAGAGTGCAAAAATATTGTTGAGTTATGCCAGACTCTTGGGTTAAAGGATTGGGGATTTGCAGGGTCCTGAGAAGGGTCTTGAACACAGAAACAGCTAAGTGAGGGGAGTTTTGGGGAATCCTAAGGTTCTTTGGAGAAGAATCAAACCAGAGATATTTGAACCGCTTTATTCAATCCAAAAGGGTGGGGGTGTTGTACATGTTCCTGTGCCATCACACATGATTCAGGATGAGAGGGTCAGAAGTCAAAGGTTGAAGTTACAGGAGGTCAGCCTCTACCAGGCATGTTGATGTAGATTTTGTCATTTTCTGGGGGTGGGGGAGAGAAAGCATGAAGCCTGACCACCCACCACCCACCCCACATCTCCACCTTCCTGGGGACCCCCTGCCTTAGGGGTTTCCTCAGGGATTCCCCCAGACCCCTCCCCCAGGGTTTCCCCAGCACCTCCTCCAGGGCTTCCCCGGGGGCCCCCCTCCTTGGGACCCCTCTCTAGGGAGGCCACCGCCCCTCCAAGCCCCGCCCTTACCATGGTTGAGCCTGCGACCTGGGCGTGGGCGGGCACACACCAACACCACCCCCACAATTATCAGTGACATGACAGCATCTGCAGCCACTAGGCTGGCCAGGAGATGCGGGGAGAGGGGCCCACATCCGGAACAGGAACCTGGAAGGTGGAGCCCAGACAAGAAAGTGGCTCAGGGGGGTCCTGGTTCCCTGGGGCTGTGCTTTGGCCACAAGAGGAGAAGAGGAAGTCCCCTGTGAGGGGCGTGGATCCCAGGTGGTGCATGGAGAAGGAAAGATGGAGATCCCTAGCAGCAGCAGTGTCCCAGGATTCCAGGGGGACTGTGCAGTGGGCACATAGGCCACAGACAAAGGGAGGCTGGGGTCCTCTTTTTCCCTGGGGCTCAGGGAGTGGTGGTGAAGGGGGCAGGATGGGACCTGGAGAGGGTTGCAGATCCCTCTCCAGAGGATGTGAGCTGGTGACGGCAGAGCCATGGAGGTGGGGCATTCTAGGACCCTCAGGCCAGGCTTTAGAGATGGAAGCAGTACCTGAAGTTCCAGGGTCAAAGGTAGGGCGCGATGGCTCACCTGTGGACATCTGGGCAGCAGCAGCTGTGGAAGGACAGGGGAGGTGGGTGAGGTGGCCCCAGAGCAGGGTTGAAGGGAAAATGATGTCCTGAGAAGGAACCTCCACTCTGGAGGGACAGAATGGGAAAGAGGGCCAAGTGGAGAGGGAAGCTCCCAGGGACACAGAGAGACAGAAAAGGGGAAGTAGAAGCAGTGACTACCGATGACAAGGGGAGGTTAACAGGCCGCCGGCCACTCCAGAGCTCCCCTCCTCCCTCCCTCCCTGCCAAGGCCCAGCCCTGATGCAGAATGATCTCCAAGAAGAGAAAGGGCGCAGGCAGAAGGGCCTGCCCTCACCACCCTGACTTCAGATGTCACCCTTCCCACAAGTCCTTTGCCTGCCACCACCCCCCATAGCCCCTGGCTTCACCTGGGAGCAAAAGTAGGAGCAGTATGTGGCCTGGAGGGGTCATGGTGGACTGGGGGCTGAAGGGATCTGGCCAAGGACTGTGGTCCAGAGAAGTCCTGAGGAACAGCGGGGGAGCAGAGAGGTAGCTATAGCGGATGTCACCCTGATGGTGGCAAGGCCACTTACTTCCTGTGTATGTGTGTGTATGTGTGTATGCGTGGGTGTCTCTATGACTCTTTGGGGAACAAATTGGGGGAGGGTCAGAGAGTCCAGGAAAGCTGCTATGATCATCTAGGGAGATTCTGGAAATATTTTAGAGGTACAGCCAACATTTGCTGGTGGAGTGGATGTAAGTGTGTAGGCAAGAGGGATCCAGGATGACCAAAGTTTCTGGCCATTGAAAAGATGGAGTGTGGATGGAGAGGGAAGTGGCAGAAGCTGGTTTGGGAGGCAAGTGCTGAGTTTCAGGCATACGGAGTTGGAAAATGTCTGACACAGCTCCCTGTGGAAATGTAGAATGCTCAAAGCTGCATTTATGAATTCAGGGGACAAGTCTGGTCTGGGGATGTCAGTTCAGGGGTTGATGGCCTAAAGTTGGTATTTAAAGCCACGAGGCTGGATGACATCACCAAAGAAGTGAGTACAGACAGATGATAACCCCACACAGGGGCCCCTTCCACACACACAGAGAGAATGGGAGAAGGGGACAAACCAGCCAGGGAAATGGGAGGAGGAGGAGCAAGAGACGGGGGAGACCCACGAGAGCGGAGTCTTGAAAGCAGAGGAGAAATTTGGTCACTGTTGTCAGTGTTGAGAATGGCCACCAAATGGGAAGTGAGAATCTCCTCCCTCTGGATTGACTTGAGGGCTGGGAATTCCTGCCTGTTTACTTCTCACTTGTACCACAGCACCCAGCAAGGCGCCTCCCCGGGACAACAAATTATTAAAATAATGAAAGAATAAATGAACTAGACTTCGGAGGCCATGTGGGAAAGAGCGAGAGATTTGAGCCTTATCTTTCCTCCCTACAGACCAGGAAGTCCAATCCCCGGCCCCTCTCCCCGCAGGACCCAGTAATACTACTCTGTCCACCCCGAGCCCAGAGCCCCAAAGTCAAGGTCTCTAGCTGGAGGCTCTGGACCTCTCTAGATTCCTGATTCCCTTTGGACAGGCTCAGGAGTCTAGGTCCCCAGTGTCACCCTTCTCCTTGAGTTCAGTATCAGGCTCCTTCAGGCCAAAGACCTGACCCTCAACTCCCTTTTTCTGGGGAGACTTGGGACTCAGCCCCGCCCATTTAGAAACTAAGTTTGCTGGGGTGTGACGTGGGGACTCCCAGGGCTGAGGGCGGGGCCCTGCCCTGCACTGGGCGGTGCCAGAACCCTAATTTAAAAACTCGCGGGGACCCTATTCAAGATCGGGGACCCGACGGCGGCTCCGAGGGAAACAGCGAGGCTGGCGCAGCGCCGAGGCCGCGGCCCTGGGGGCCCACAATCCGCGCCAAGGAATCCCCGAGGTACTAGATGGGGGGATGGTGAGGCACCTCGGCTCTTAAGAGAGTGACAGCCTGAGGTCTGGACTTTGGGGTCCTTGAGGGACAGAGCTGGAGCACCAAGATCTGGGCTCTGAGATGAGTACCCAGTGTTTGAGGGTAGCAGGGGGTCCGACCCCCCCCCTCGGGATGGAGGAGTGCCAGGATTCTGCAATCCTGGGTTTTGGGGGCGTTGGGGACTGGAGATCCAGAATCCTGGTTCTCGGCGGTACGAGAGCTGGGAGGCCAGACTACTATGTCCTGTGGAAGGAGAGGGATGGTGGCCTGGACTCCTTTCCCCAGAAGGACCGGCTGCAGGGAGCTCTTGGGGGCGTGGTTGTTTAAAATCTGCCGCTGATCTTAGTGGCGAAGGTCCGGCGCCTGGCGCAGGGTCCACGCTGGCAGCGACCCTGCCCCTCCTTGGGGTTTCCCAGAGCGCCACCGGCCCCGGTCCCCCAGCTGGGCAGGAATTCCCCGCGTGCGGGGATTCCAGGAGTGCCACGCTTGGCTGCGCGCCCCGCCTGCGAGCGGGACACCTGCGGCGCGGGGCTGGAGCGGAAGGCGGAGATGGAAGATTCCCTTGCGCGAGCGCCGTGACGTTAGCGCGCAGTGTCTGGGCGGTTTCCGAATCTGCTCCACGCCGGCTTAACCCTTCTGTCGCCGGAACCCAAGCTCGGCAGGTTGTGGTGAAAGGGCTGGTCTTCCCGGGTGACAGAAAGGAGGAGTCTGAAAACCTGGACTCCCCGGTCCTGGAGAGGAGGGGGCTGAGGGCTTGGACCCCCGCGTCCTGGAGAGTAGGACGCGGGACTCCCGGACTCCTGCGTTTGCGGGGTGGACCCTGGACTCCAGGTTCTGAAGAGGTGGAGCTGGCGGCTCTGAACCTCTGGATTCTGAGGAGCTGGGGGGGTGGGTCTACTGGCTCGTGATTCCTTGGGGGAGGGGACTTGGGGGCTCGGACGCTTGATTTCCCGGGGAACTGTAAAAGAACGTCAGCTTCATTGGGAACCCGGTTGTGCGTCTCTGGGGAATGGTGGCTGGCGACGTTTCCCCTACCCCAGGCCTCAGAACTGGAGATCTGGGGGTGGGATTTTTCACAGAAGTAGAGGGGTGCTCTCCCCCCTCCCCTTCCTCAGTTTCCACGACGCTGGTGGAAAGTTGGGTCAGCGGGAAAGTGCGGAGCAAAGAGAAGGAAACGGCGGAGGCGGGCACCGCACTTAAAATCTTCTATTGGCTTTGGAGTTCTCAGGCGGCATCTGTGTGCCAGTTTTTCCGCGCGCGGGAGGGCGAGATGGGCGCCCACATCCACTCCTCCCCCGCTCTGAGTGCATTTAGATGACTTAAGGACCCCTGATGACTTCCTTCTCTCCTCCCCAACCAGTGAGCCGAAATGAGCGCAGCCACTGCCCAACACAGACGGTGAAGAAACTCCTGGAAGAACAGAGGCGTCGCCAGCAGCAGCCTGACGCTGGTGCAGTACCGGTGAGGCCTGAGAAGCACTTTAAAAGACAGCTCTCGCTGGGCGTGGTGCCGGTCGCCTGTAATCAGCCACTCCGGAGGCTGAGGCAGGAGGACTAGCCTCAGCAAATTAGCGCGACCCTGTCTCAAAAATTAAAATAAACAAATAAATAAATAAATAAAAAAGGGTTGGGAATGTAGCTCAGTGGTAAAGCGCCCTGGGTTAAATTCCTAGTACAATGAAAGAAACAAAGGGGGGGGGGGGGGCAAATCTCAAGAGGCCATGTGCTTGTTGGGCCCTCAGAACTGATAAGAGTTATAGTTCTGACTCCGATGCCCTAGAGGTTGGAAACAAATGCCGAGAAATCTAGCAAATTAATTCTCCCTTGTTCCTTTTTGCTTATGTCTCTACAGATTCAGTTCTCCCCTCCCCTGACCCAGCCCCTGACCTCATCTGTGAATGAGGCCGAAGCTGGTAAGTCTGGAAACTCATCAGGTTCCCTGAGCTCCCAGCCCTAGCCTCCCTCAGGCCCTCAGACACCCCAACTCTTAGAATTTTAGGGAACAGAGGGTTCAGGTTCACATTTTTTCTGGGACTTACTAGAAATTTGATCTAGTTTCATTGGATCCCAGTCATCTATGCACTTGGGCCCCAGGCTATCACCTTGTGAGGACCCCACAAGTCCAGGTTCCAGTTTGCCCCTGGGTGTTCCAGGATCCTAGGCCCCAGCCCCTTAATGTCCCAGAAATCCTTTGTTTGGGCACCTTGTGACTCAGGCTCCTCCTTCCCTGACTGTGACTCCCCCAAGCTCTGGTAACCAGGCCCCCACCTGCCCTCCTCTCACATACAGGCCATACTCACTTCCCAACAATCCAGGAGACTGTGGGTTCTGGAATTGGCACCCTGGCACCCCCGACAAGCTTTCCAGACTGGGACCCCAACACACATGCTGCCTATACAGACAGCCCCTGCTCTTACCCTGCTTCTGCTGCTGAAGGGTTCCTGAATCCTGAGTTCTACCAGCCCTCGGACTCAGGGCGATCGTGTGCATTTTCCCTAGGGATGGAGGTGAGATACAGAATGAGGAAGGATGCTGAAGGGCTTCTAAAACTTCCCAGTTGCCCTTGTGCAGTATTCTGAACTATGGAATGGGATTAAAATCCCATTCCCCAGACAGGCAAAACAGGCCCAAAGGTTCAAGGTCACTTGGCATAGACGGGGTTCCCAGCCCTAGCCACTTGACCAGAGGCTGTGTATATGTATGTGTGGTGGGCTGGGAAGGGGGAATTCTCAACTGACTGACTGTCCCTACCCCTTCAGGACCCCCTGGACACTCGGCTCTATGCAGAACCTTCCCTGTCACAGGCAGAATCCTGGAGAGTTTCTGGGCCCCCCTCAGTACCCCCACCATTGCTCCCATCCACTGGACCATCCTTGGAGACAGCCCGAGCTCATATGCTGGCTTTGGGGCCACAACAGCTGCTGGCCCAGGATGAGGAGGGAGACACGTGAGTATAAGGGAAATGGGGGTCATCTGCACACTCCTGAGTCAGCAGGGGGACTGTTCTCACTGCTTCCCCCTACCTGTCCGCAGGCTCCTGCACCTGTTTGCGGCATGGGGACTACGCTGGGCAGCGTATGCTGCAGCAGAGGTGCTCCAGATGTACGGACATCTGGACATCCGTGAACATAAGGGCAAGGTGAGGGCTAGAGGCCTGGATTTCTGGGTACAGGGGAGGAAAGAGCTGGGGGTTGGAATTCCCGGATCCTGGGTCTGAGGGTGGAGAGGGCTGGGAACCTGGATTCCTGGTTCTCAGAGGGGAGATTGCTCGGGGCCCAGACTGATTTTTCCCATGACCTGCAGACCCCTCTTTTGGTGGCTGCTGCCGCCAACCAGCCGCTGATTGTGGAGGATCTGTTGAACTTGGGAGCAGAGCCTAACGCCACGGATCATCAGGGACGTTCTGTCTTGCACGTGGCTGCTACCTACGGGCTCCCAGGAGTCCTTTCGGTATGGTTAGCTGGCAGGCAGGGGTCTGGGGTGGATTGGTTGCCCAGATCCTGATCCAGGGCTAAGAGGCCTGGGGAGACCCTTTGACAACATCTTTTTCCTCCTCCTAGGCTGTGTTTAAATCTGGTGTTCAGGTGGACCTGGAAGCCAGAGACTTCGAAGGTAAGCTGTGTGTGGGCAGGGCTGGCATGGCGGCGAGGCTGGGCAAGGTGGGTGCCCCAGCTGTAGGTCCCTTACTCTCTCCATTCTACAGGACTCACACCCCTCCACACAGCCATCCTGGCCCTCAATGTTGCTATGCGCCCACCCAGCCTCTGTCCTCGGACACTGAGTACCCAAGCCAGAGACAGGCTGAATTGTGTCCAGATGTTGCTGCACATGGGTGCAGATCATACCAGCCAGGTGAGCTAGGCTGTGGATGGCTGGCCCATAGGAGGGTGTGTGGGACAGGGTCACCTGGATGTCCAGGGACATTAAACAAAGCCTGAGTTTGCTACTCCCTAGCTGTGTGACCTTGAACATGTTACTTCTCTGTGCTCTAGTTGTCAACTTGGGGTACTGTCACGGATCTTAGCTTAGATTTATCCAGCACTTAATAGTGATCAAACACCAAATTTTATATATTAACTTATTGGATCCTCACAAGAACCTTGTAAGGCGCATGCTATTATTTCTTTCTCCGTTTTACTGACAAGGAAACTGAAGCACAGGGAGTCAGAAGTCTTAAAACTTGTGTGTCAGAGAGAGAATTAGAACCCAGGGAGTCTGACCCTAAAACCCAGCTCTAAATCATAATCACCTTTGCCATGAAGCTTCTTTGCAGGCTCGATGAGAGAATGAAATATCACTTAATTAAAAACAATTTTTGGCTGGAATTATGACTCAGTGGTATAGCACTTACCTAGCATGTGTGAGGCACTGGGTTCGATTCTCAGCACCACATATAAATAAACAAAATAAAGTCCATTGACAACTAAACAGATATTTAAAAAAATTTTTTTAATCAAGAATTTTAAACACAGATAAAGTGTAGGAATACTAGAATGAATTCCACATACCCAATATCAGTAATCAGCAACTCATGGCCAGTGCACCCCCATCCACTCTCCCACTTTCCTGTTTTTTTTTTTTTTTTTTTTTTGACCGTGCTGGGGATAAAGCTCAGGGCCTTGCTCCTTCCCTAACATACCATTGAGCTACACCCCCAGTCTTTGTGTCTTTAAAAGTTGTCTCCCCCTTCCCGGTACCACTATTACACCTTAAAAGATTAGTGATCTCATAATCTCAAAAATCCTGGCTGTGTTCAAATTTCCTTTTGGCTCTAAAGTGACTTTTTTTGTTCATTAAAAGTAATTAGGGGACTGGGGATATAGCTCAGTTGGTAGAGTACTTGCCTCACATGCACAAGGCCCTGGGTTCAATCCCCAGCACCACACACACACACACACACAAGAAAGTAATTAGTAACCACATATTACAATGATGTCTTTTTAAAGTTACTTTTATTTTAGAGCTCCTCCTTCCGTCTCTTTGTGTTCTCATCATAATTTGGTGAGCAAACTAGGTTGTTTTCCCTATACAAGCACTTAAAATTTTTGATGTTTGTTAAAAATGTACAGTAATTCCATAAAGGCAGGTAATGAAGTTTCTTTTTAGAAAATGTCTATTTTCCCCCAAAATACGGAGGGCATGGGCTGGGGTTGTGGCTCAGCAGTAGAGCACTCGCCTAGCACGTGCAAGGCCCTGGGTTCCATCCTCAGCACCACATAAAAATAAATTTTAAAAGTAAAGGTATTGTGTCCAACTACAACTAAAAAAATAAATATTAAAAAAATATGGAGAGAGCAACTTAACATTGCAGTAGATATAGGCTTAGTCCACTGATTAATGCCACCGACTCTTATCCTTGTAGATAGAATACAGTCATGTGGGACAGGGTGCACTTTAATGTGTTAGGCAGAATGCAGGACAGCCAGGTAGCTGAAGGCCAGAGTTCCTTTGAGAGATTGGAAAAGGAGCCTGTTTATCAACAACACTTAAACAGGAAAACAGTCATAAAAAAGGTACAGTTCTGGGGGCTGAAGTTGTGGCTCAGTGGTAGAGCGCTAGCCTAGCACGCAAGGCACTGGGTTCAATCCTCAGCACCGCATAAAAATAAATTTTAAAAAAAGGTATTGTGTCCAACTACAACTAAAATATATATATATATATATATATAAAAAGGTACAGTTCTGTGCTGCACATGGTATGAATTGCTACCTGTCTCCCTTGGAGGTGGTGCTCTTATACAGCTACAACACATGGAGCTGTACACGGACACCCCTGGGTAGGGTCTGCAGGAACCCTGAGTTCCATGGGAGGAGGACTGGCCTTGACCTCTGCCATTGCCCCCCCACAGGAGATCAAGAGTAACAAGACAGTTCTGCACTTGGCCGTGCAGGCTGCCAATCCTACCCTGGTTCAGTTGCTGCTGGAGCTGCCCCGGGGAGACCTGCGGGCCTTTGTCAACATGAAGGTGGGGACCTAGGCTGGGATATGCAGGTTGTGGTAGAGAAGGGCAGTAGGGTAGAGGGTCCTGTGGGCTGTGGGCATGGAGGGGACAGAGGGTGGGAGGTGAGGGAGAATGCATAAGACAGACAGAAGGGGTGTGTGGCATGTGGCTGTGAATGGGGACGCATGAGATGCGGATATAGAAGAATAACAGGTGTGGTTTGGAGAACTCAGGCAGCTTAGCCTGCAGCCTTATCAACCCTACCCCTGCTCTTCAGGCCCACGGGAACACAGCCCTCCACATGGCAGCTGCCCTGCCCCCTGGGCCACCCCAAGAGGCTATTGTGCGGCACCTGTTGGCAGCCGGTGCAGACCCAACGCTGAGGAACCTGGAGAATGAGCAGCCTGTCCACCTGCTGCGACCAGGGCCGGGCCCTGAGAGGGTGAGTACTGCCCCTGACCACAGAGGGACCCCCTCCGCTGACCCAGTTTTGACTTTGGAGGGTGACTTCAAATCTCAGAAAATGACCTTCAACCCTTATCCAACCCCGACTTCAAAATGTGATCTTCAATGTCAGTACCTGGTCCTTTCTGTCCACATGAGACCTGGTTCTGATTTCTTATCCAACCCTGACCTCTCAACCCCAAATCTTGACCTAAATGTGCCGTTTGATCTCTCAGTGGATCCTTTGAACTCCTGTGCCTAACTCTGGGTCCTGACCTCAAATGTATTTCCAACTCTTGCTTTAACCCTTTGGTTCTGATTCAGTGCTGACCCGAAGGTCTTGAGACCCCAGGCCAGGGACACCCTTCCCTTCATCTCTGCTCTGCTAGGTTTCTGCTCTCTGGTCCCTCACTCGTGGGTGCCTGTGACTCCCCACTTTCCTCCCAGTCGCCCACACTTTTCACCTTGCCTTTTCTCATCTACAGCTCCGGCAATTGTTGAAGAGGAGCCGTGTGGCACCCCCAGGCTTGTCCTCTTAGGACTCAAACCCAGAACCTGGACTGATTTTCCAGTCCCCACCGTCCTGTGGGACAGCCAGCGTATGCTAATGTTGCAAATCCATGATAATGTATGTGGAATGTCCTGCCATTAGGGTCTTACATTAAAACCCCAAAATGGCTGCCGGGAGGGTGAACAGTCCCCAATATTTGGGGTGGTGTGATACCCCTTCCCTACCCTCAAGGAGCCACCTGGATGATTTCCATGAAATCGAGGCTTCTTGATTGTTTCTGTGAAACAACCTGGGCCCTCTGACCCTCTACCCACTAGGGTATTTCAGGATCCTCTCCCTTAACTCAGTCCTGCATGTCTAGAAACCCAGATGTAACCCTTTCATAGGACTTGGAGCATCTCAGCAGGGTTCCCTAACCTTCCCCAGAACCCACATCCCTCCAGTCCTAACCCCTGAGACATAAGAAGGACCCTGTGGGACTAGTGTCCCTGGGGTCTGTTGCTTTCAGATTCAGTATTCAGTGGAGTCCCTGCCCCAGATCTCAGCATCCCTGTGAATCCCTCTCCCCTAATATGAGCCTCCTTTAAGCTCCCTATTAAACTTTACTTAGAACATAACTGTTATCATCTCATTTCTGGGGGCATTGGTGCAGGGAGGTGGCTATCACCCCACTGAGGGGTCACATATGCATGCATGTGCTCAGCAGGGCATGTAATAGACACTGTGGGTGCCATCAACCTCGACCTACCCAACATTGTGCCCTGACAGCTGGATCCAGCACCTGTGGATTATTTCTCATGGTGGTAGAGGCTGGGAAGTCCAAGACCTATATGTCACAGGTGCAATTTCTAATGAAGGTGTTCTCTGGTTCTGCAGAGGACCATCTTCGTACTTCACGCATTTCCATACTTCTGGTGTGTCCACTGTGTAAGATGTTGGCAAATCATAAAATCCAGGGAGTTTATGCTACACATAGTGGTGCACATCTGTAATCCCAGCTATTTGGGAGGCTGAGGCAGGAGAACTACAAGTTTGAGACCAACCTGGGCAAGTTAGTGAAACCCTATCTCAAAATTTTAAAAGGGTGGTGGTGGTTAGGGATGTAGCTCAGTGGCAGGGCGCATTTGGGTCAATTCCCAATTTATCACATGTGCGCACATGCATGCACGAGTGCACACGCAAAGCCAAGGAGTTTATTCGAGCTTCAGGTATGGCTCAGTGGTAGCAGGCTTGCCTGTCATATGCAGGATGCTGGGTTTGGTATCAGCACCATAAACAAGAAAAGAATAAAAGAAAGGCCAGGGAGTTCATGCCTGCCTCTTGGGCAGCCCTCAGCCAGTGACTATTAGGAAATGGTACATACATGCTCCAGGTCCCTCGACGCCCTTGGGATAACTTTTATGTTCTACTCTGGTTCCCAGAGTCCCCCAACAGAATAAATGAAGCTCTAGTTTCCCAGAGTGGTTTGGGGGAACTCAAAAACTCCATTTCCCTTCTCTGTGTCTCTTCCTGCCTCCCCTAGCAAGTTTCTCCAACCCTTCCTCCTAAGCTTGACCTTAAGTGCTCGCCTGAGTCAGCTTCTGGGGGAACTCTCTGAGTTCCTCTGCCATTCCTGCTTCGTATACTCGCCCCACAACTTCAACTCTGGTTGTATTGTAGACGAATCACACCAAGAGCACCCATCTCAGAAAGCTCCTTGGCCCACCTGAGCCCCTTTGCTCGGAGTCTCTTTTGAACAACAAACCAAGTATATATTTGCATACCTCAGGAGTCTCCATCCCAATATTTAAAGCTTAAAATGTTTGCCTCTTAAATTGTTTATGATTCTGCAATCGAGCTGGGTTTAGCTAGTGGTTCTGTTCTGTAGCTTTGGTCACTCATGTGGCTGCAGTTAGTTGGACACTGCTGGACTGGATCCGAGACAACCTCACTCGTAGGTCTGGTATCTGGGCTAAGATTGCTGGAACTGCTGGGAGTGGACCAAGAATATCTCCACGTGGTCCAGGAGGGTAGGTGGATCCCTTCACATGGTAGATAAGGGCTCCAAAAGAGAGCAGGCCAAGGGCTGGGGTTGTGGCTCAGTGGTAGATCACTTGCCTTGCATGAGCAAGGCACTGGGTTCAATTCTCAGCACCACATAAAAAAACAAATGAATGCATTGTGTCCATCTACCACTAATTTTTTTTAAAAAAGAACATTCCAAAAGAGCATGCCCTTCTTGTATCATGCTCTCCTACATGCCATTGACCAATGTTAGTCATGTGGCCATGCCCAAAATCAGCATGCGGGGTTGGGGGCAGGAAAATTGGGAGACAGAGTTGGGAAAACTGGGAGACAGAGTTGTCAGGGACCATTGGTTTTAACTCTCCCAACAGCTTCTATATGCCAACCTGTGTCACTCTTGTATGTATCATTACAGTGGCAGCTGGCCCCTGAAGAATTCATATGAATATGCTCTTATTTCATTGATTCTAAGAATAACTTAATTGGAATTCATCTTACAACCAATTGTGTGACATAGTTTAATTTGTACCCTTTTTCCTTTGTGATACATAAAACAATGGGTTTTTTTTGTGTGTGTGTGTGGGGTGTGTGTGTGTGTGTGTGTCTGGGGATTGGAACCAGGGCCTCATGCCCTCTACCATGAAACTATGTTCCCAGCCCAATGATGTTATTTCTCATCATTGATAGCATCTGAAATTTTGTTGACATATATTTATTCCAATTTGTATTATTATGGATGTTTATTCCAATTCATATTATTATGTTTGTGTGTCCCTCCCCCAAATCAATATGTTGAAATAACAAGCCCCAATGGGGGTGGAGCCATTGAGAGGTAATTAGGTCATGAGCATGGAACTCTCATGATGAGATTAATAGCAAGACACAGGGGAAAGCTTGCTTGCCCTCTTTCTGCTCTGTCCTATGAGGATATTGTAAGAAGATGGAGCCATCTGCAAACTGGGAAGCGTGTCCTCAGACATAAAATCTGCTGGTACCTTGAGCGTGGACTTTCCAGCCTCTAGAACCATGAGAAAGAAATGTTTCTTGTTTAAGCCACACAGTCTATAGTATTCTGTTATAGCAGAATAAGACATGTATCAACACACACACACACACACACATACACACACACACACACACACTCACTCACACACCACTAACATGTTAGAATGTCCCTGAAAACATAATTTATATTAAAAGAAAAATTAATAAAATCATCTTCAGTGTGGCTTAGGGGCACAAAAGCATCAAATGAGCATTATAAAATCAATATGTTCATAAAAATAGCATTTTAAAATGAATTATTCTAAGCATCGCCACTAAAGTAGAAATTTGGTTAAGGAATCAGACACTGACCAGATTGGAGAGAGAATGGCCTTTTAGTCCTGGTCTCACCTGCTCGAAATTCCTTCCCTATTGTTAGCCTGTTGTTCACTCATGGTTGTGAAAACACAAAGGCAGCTTTCCCCCAAGCCTGTATTGTTGGTGATAGATTTCTGCTGAGCTCATCTGACTATAACTAAAGATATAACCACTGTTGGAATGATGATGCATCCTGAATTCTCTAACAAAGCTGTGGCGTTGTATCCAACTTGCGTTTTAAAAGCACCTTCCTCCTCACACCTACCAGGGGTGCATTTAATATACATGACCTGTATTTACAGGGATATATTATGAAGAACTCTGCTAGCTCATAGGCCCTTTGGGAGAGTTAGAAATAGGTGCTTCCTCCTTAAGCCATCTGTCTGAAAAAATTGTGCTTACATTAGAACATGGCACATTACCGCCATCTGCTGGGAAATTGTGGTAAAAGAGCAAATCTGCAATGTCTAAGGGTGAAGGAATAGTAGGCATGACTTGGAATTTTGCAGTGCACAATTTAAGCATTATATATGACAGTCTTGAATTATTAAATAGTATGTTAGCAAAGTGCTCTAGAGTATATGCACTGGACACAGGATGCCTATGTTGAATTCCCAGCCCTCATCCTTCCTAGATGATGGAGTCAAAAGGAAATTTGATCTCACTTCTCTCATCCTGCCTTTCCTAACCTATAGATGGAGATAAATTAGTTCCAGTTCTATGGAATGAAAATAATGATGAAGCGCGCCCATGCATGTAAAGTGTGTTGGTACTAGGATCAAACCCAGGGCATCACGCATGTTAGGCAACTGCTCTACCACTGGGTCCCCTCCATTGTGGTTTGTTTTAAAATTTATTTAACAAACACTTGCTAAGTGGCAGGAACAGTTTTAATATCTCCACAAATATTGACCCTTTTAATCATCATAATGACTGTCTTGGGAATACATCATCTGATGGGACCCTTGAGTATATTCATTCCAATAGGTGTTTGCAGACATCACATACACCCCACTGGGACACGAAACTGGAATTTCTACATTCCAGGGAATCTCCTTTTGACTCCCTAAGAAGCTATGAAGACTTGGGATTGGGAAGTGATTCCAGATTCCCAGTGCTCGCAGGTTGGGGCAGATGCTGTGTATGATTGTATGGGCAGGTAACTAGAAGGGTGGAGAAACTTGCGGGAACCCAGCAAATAGACACCTGGAAGTGGCAGCCAGTTCAGCACCACGGAAAGCTCCTGGGCAGGCGCAGAAAGCCTCACCGAAGTCTCTGGGCCCTGCCCCCCCCCCCCCCGCCTCCCCCCCCGGCCACACCCCGCCCCCCCCCCCCCCCCCCCCCCCCCCCCCCCCCCCCCACC